CCTAAACAAATTAATTCGTCAATGTGAATAACAATTTTATAAATAAAAATAAAACTCGTGTTTTACAAATAAACTTAGGTTAGTGGTTTACTCTTGTTGTTCGCTATCAACACAACGATGCAAGCTTTTTTAAAATAAAAGTCTATTCTAAGTCAACATATCGTTTTTTGCTTTATAATTTAAAATAGGTTCCATATTTAAAAGCAAAGAAACACTTAGGGTCGTATTCTAGAACTCTACTAAATACTCAAGTCAGGACTTGAGTATTGCAGTGAGCACTGAAAATCATACTCAAGCCCTTGTCGTATTTCCAGTGCTTGAAATCATACTCAAGTCTGCTCAAGTCCTGACTCGAGCATTGAGAACTCTACTCAATGGTCACGGTTGACTGTTGAAGTCCCATGGTCACGGTTGACTGTTGATGTCCCATGGTCACGGTTGACTGAGGTGAAACAGTCATCAACCAGTTATGTCTAATATTAATGCAAACCACCCTATTATTTCACTATAGTTACAAAAGTTATTAATTAAAAACCTTATGTTTAATTTTACAAAGATACATTCCAATTTACGCTACATTACGTTTTACAAATTAGTTTATTGAATGATCAATTTATTATTAATTACGTAGTGTTATGTTTACTTTCAAACATTTGACGTGACGTGGTATACCTACATAAAAAGAATATATTTAAGTTAAAAAAATGGTCTTTTGACTTACAATTACATGGGAGCGATTTTGTAAGAACGAACCATTTTGTACGCTTCAAATTACAAAGCGTTTTGGTGTGAAAAGCGTTTAAAAAAGAACAACATTTTAACCTTGTTTTAACGTTAATAAAATAAGCAGTTTTTTCATCTCTACTCATCACCCTGAGACATGAATTGACAAATCCCATGTTACGGGTACATGGGATTTGTCAATTCATGTCTCAGGGTGATTCAGAATGGAAAAAAATAAACTGTTATTTCAACATTTCTGTAATATATAGATATTGTAACTAACCCGTCACTTACTTTATTGACACATTGGCATTTGTACGGTCTTAAAATATTTTTTTTTTTGCAATGGCACCAGTTTTAGATCTCAAACTCAAACTCAAACTCAAACTCAAACTCAAACTCAAACTCAAAATAATCTTTATTTCATAGGTAAGCATTATTACACTTGAAATCGTCACAATGGTTAAACTCTACCGCTCATTCGTAAGGCAGATTCCCCTGAGAAGAATGAGCAAGAAACTCTAGGGGTTGCTCTTTGTAAATAGCATTTACAATATTTTTTTATTTTTATTTGAAACATCAGAGATCGAGACTACCTCCATGAGCTAAACGGGTTACTACCACGGATTTTTGTCATCCAAGTACGCAGAAGTTGTATAATAACCTTTAGTATAAAGTTTTTGTTTCACTATAGTTTTAAACCTCGTGAAAGGCAAATTTTGTATATCAACCGGAATCTTGTTATAGAAGCGTATACATTGCCCCTTAAATGATTTTTTGACTTTGTGAAGACGACTATCAAGAAAAGCTAGTTTATTTCTATTCCTCGTATTAATGTTATGTCTGTCACTATTTTTCATAAATAAATTACTATTCCTTTTAACATAAATTACATTTTCATAAATGTACTGTGAGGCTAGTGTAAGAATGTTAATTTCCTTAAACTTATCTCTCAAAGATACTTTGGGGCCCAGATTGTAAATTGCCCTAACTGCACGTTTCTGCAGGACAAAGATTCTATTGATATCGGCGGCATTACCCCAAAGCAAAATGCCGTATGTCATTAGACTGTGAAAGTAACTGAAGTAAACCAATCTAGCGGTTTCGACGTCTGAAAGTTTCCTTATTTTTTTAATCGCGTACACTGCAGAGCCGAGCCATTTTGATAACTTACTTATATGGGGACCCCATTGCAATTTAGCATCTAACGTTATACCTAGAAATACAACTGTATCCACAAGATTCAATTTTTCATTTCTAACTACAATGTTTGTAACCGTCTCTCTAACATTGGGTAATGTAAATTTCACACAATTTGTTTTTTTCTCATTAAGAAGTAGGTTATTAACAGCAAACCAATCAATTACTTTAGATATAGCATCTCAAATTCCATCTCAAAGTTATAGGCGAATTATTGACTGTATTTGTTTACATGAGTGTTGAATGCAGTGTGAAACCTAGACTTTTGTGAACGCTGGATTTAAATTAGGTAAGACCCATTAAAATGCGAAAACGAAGGTGAAGTTTCCACCTTTTTTTGTAATTTTGTATTTATAATGAAATATTTTGTGTAAATGGAGTTTTGTCCGAATTTAATGATATTATTAATTCAAAATTATTCTAGCTGACTTTTTCCATTCAAATCCATCTAAAAAAACCATGAAACTTGCGCGGTGCCTTCACGTAACTGTAAAATACAGAAGCAAGCGAAGAATCTTATTTTTTTAGTAATTGCTAATGCTAATTTTGTTATTATTCTGCTTATTACTTATTACAGTTAAAATCCACGAGATTACGAGGTGGATATTGTGTGGAATTGCTTCTTTATCGTCTAAACAAACTTTTATATCGAAATTTCAAATTAATGATTTAACCATTACACGAGTTAATATTGAAATTAACTCGTTTAATGATTTTAGCCCACCATTATGGGCAGAAATGTGTTAAAACCAGGTGCTTTGGATTAAAACCTGGTTAAGACCCAGGCGGACGGATTGTGTTACTTTAAATCCAGTACCCATCTCTGAATACTTTTAATGCTACGAACTAACCTAGTGATGTAACATGAAAATAAAAGTTTGATAATGAACACTTAATTTCCAAGCTTTTAGAATAGAGCTAATAGAACATACGAATATTAAGCATTACATCATATACGACAGCGTTACGAGAATTCTAGATAAACAACTATTGTAGCTGAAGAATTAGATGTGTTACCAGAGAATTAAGGAAAAATATCCAAAAGACTAGATATTGCTCTTTTTGATGGTTTTATATTGATGATGATTATGGTGATTTTAAGGTCAATAAAAATTTACAAACGTATTTTAATAGCTTAAAAATATACGGTAGGGTGATTGAAAAACAAGTTTTGTGCATCGTAGAATGTTTATTCCGAACCATGGATTATAAGATATGTGCTAGCGATCTAGATACTAGTACTGAGTGATATCACACTAAAGGATACACTTCCGAGTATAAAATACTGGCTTAAAGGACTCGTATCCAAGACAAAAATCCTTAAAAAAGTATAAAATATATTTTTTCCCTATAGTGTAAGTTTTTCTTTTTTTAAATCACCATGGTGTCAACTGTATATTTTAATGGCTAGAAGTAGCGTTTTTAGCCACTTTTTACTTTACAACACCGTTTGTTATATTATACTAACATTTTTGGATTATAGACGTTCCAATATTGTCAATAGAATTTAACATCACAAAAAGCTCACAGTCTCTGTGACTCCGTTTTGAGATCACTCGATGTGCTGAACAATAGACCATTTTCATAATACAGGGTCACAGGTGAGGGCAGTTCGTAAGGAGAATCGCATAGCAATTTGTTATAATTATAAATTCCATCTTTTAAATTTCGGTAATTGGTGCCTTGGCGACGTACTCCTTCACCTTGGGCAGTGACAGCACCTTGTCAACTAACTGCTTGAAGGCCGGGTACTTGCTGTCGAGGTCAGGCATTTGTAGCATCACTTTGAGGTAGTCGTACATGCCCGCAAATACAAAGTCTCCCCAAGTCAGCTGAAACAAGTAAAACGTGACAAATTTTATATGATACCAAGTCGGCAATGCATGTAATCGGTGCGCCGTTCAATTCAATCCGATCAGGCGCTCCGATTGCACGTACGCGTAATTAAAACGTTAATTTGTCAATTTCTGTCGTCGCCATTTTCACTACGCATACAATTGATTTACAATTATATGGACGTCGGGTCCGCGCTAAAAAGTGTCCGAACTTATAGGGCGTTAAAATCGTATACAGAGCGTCATTCACGCTTTAGTCTTCGTTTGTTCGACTGACAGCGAAGCAAGCAAAATTAGACAGTACTGCGATAACATTACAATTTAAATTCAACGTTTTAGCTTTTTCATATTCTTTTACATGTCACTACGTTTAAATAGGTTGACTTGGGACATTTTTTTCGTGGTTTTTGTATTAGACCCGTCGTCCATATAATTGTAAGTCAATGACGCATACACAATAAGGAAGAGCGCGCGTTTATTATCGGAGCGCCTGATCGGACTGATGAGAAATTGATTACTATAGAAAATACGTTATTTTATTTTTTCCTTTGAAAAAGTGTTTGTATAACGGTTTTTGTAAACGCAAACGCCGTTATACAAATTCGCTTCACGGTCGCGCTCGCGCCGCACCCGCCGCCGGTTGGTCTATTATCGGCGCTCACATCTAAGCTCGCCACCAGACCGACATTTGAGTTGAGCACCTTGACACAAAGTTGAGAAGTCCTATGTGTTTATAATTTCATCAGCACCCTTACACCTTTCAAAACAAGGACACACGCACACACATTATTTCTCGGCTGCAGAAATAGTTACGGTGGCAGTACTTCCTTGGACGAACCAGTAGCAGTAGAGGTCCTTGTGAAAGAGTTCGTCCAGGGAAGTACTGCCACCTTGCCTATTTCTGCCGCCAAGCAGTAATATCAGCATTACTGCTTTCCGATTTTGAAAGGTAAGGGTGCTGTTGAAATTACAAGCACATGGGACTTGTCAACTTATGTCTCAGGGTGACGGGAGCGGTGGCAGTGCCAAATCTTTGCTATTTAAACATTGACTTACAATTATATGGACGTCGGGTCCGCGCTAAAAAGTGTCCGCACTTGTAAGGCGCTAAAATCGTATACAGAGCGCCAAACTCCGCTTTAGTCTTCATTTGTTCTACTGACAGCGCGATACTGCGATGACATTACAATTTAAATTTCGAATAGGTTGACTTGGGACATTTTTTTCGTGGTTTTTGTATTAGACCCGTCGTCCATTTATTTGTAAGTCAATGGATTTAAAGTTCTGAATGACACTGCAACTGTTATGGACAGGCGTGTAGCTTACCATCAGGCGCACGACTTGTTCGTCCCGTCATTTGGTATAAAAAAACTCCCCTACTTTTACCAAATATAAATTTTAAAGAAGTTTAAAATAGTATAGCATAACTTAGTAAGGCAAATGCAATATTGAGTTGTGTCAATACGGTCTCACACAAATAAAAATCGACAACACTAGCTTATTTGTACAAATACACAAATAAAACACACATTTATGTCATGTCTGTACACGGAATAGGCCTATAAAAAATCGATTCTCATGAATATGCTAGAGAGGGAAAGTTATCGACGTGATGGTGTCGATATGTATTACATATTAATTTCTTATATGAAATGTAATTCCACCCTTGGCTAGACTGGATATAGCGGATTTCTTTTTGCAATTTTGTATGCTGCAGCGTTTATTATAAAAGTAGTGTTTATTGTGCGATGGATTTTTTTTTACTTGTACCTTGGCAGAGGGGACTGTCTGTCATAGACTACTCCAGTCCTATATGCTCTAAGGTAAGGACCTTATTTAGATCTGATAGCAGAGTCTTTTATTTATTTATTGATACGGCAACAGCTTAACACACTTATCATTGACACACATTATTATTACAATACGACATTAGTCAATGTGTGAGCCAGTTATAGCCGAACACGTTATGGTCATAATCACTTAAAAACAACATAATTAAAAAAAACTATTTTAAAATTATTCTAGTAAAATATACATTTTATGCTTATTATTTACATCTGATTAAAAATTTTAAACGATAAATCGGTAACGCAACACACTCGCAGTCGCGGGTGTCATGGACACACACATAGACAATCGCAAATAACACCCAAACTCACGAGATAAATAAATGTAGGCTAAACACATATTTCTCCTGGACTGAAAATCGAACCCAAGACCTCTGCATAGCAGTACGGCATGGTAACCGTTCAGACACGGAGGCAATTTTGACCTATAAAAAATATGAAGAAAAATTCAAAAAACTAAATTTAAGAAGCTTCCACTACATCAACTACCAATATTTGAAGAGTTTCGCAACAACTTTGTCCTTTAGGCAAATGTCAAGATTTATATGACTATTCAGGCTATATTGTAGTTGGAAAGCATCCTGGACACCGGGAATAGCTCAATAAATTTGTCCTGTAAAAGGGGCACGTGAAAAGGTTTGCTAAGTTGCCACCTCGATTCTTTTGACATAATGATTTTCTCTGTGTTACTTTCACCTTTATAAAAGTGCAAATCATTATTTTCAATAATAATATAACAACACACTACAAGACTCAGTTTTGCAAGGCCGAACCAAGTACGAGAACTTAAAACTGTATCTATTCATTAAATTATGTACAATAAGGTGGTTAATCGATATCACGTAAAAAATATGCAGATAAACAAAGTGACAAATTGTAATGTTTGATGAGTGGCACAACGTACCTTTCCGAGCGCAAGGTGGCCCTTATTCTTGACGATAATATCATTAAGTGTCTTCAGCATGAACGGGTAGTGAGTCTTCATGTTCTCCTCGTGCTTCTGCTTCTTAGCCTCCTCATTTGTTTCGTATTTCACTGATGCAGCCTCTGAAATTCAATACAATTCATCATGAACACATGTACGCCATAGGTCTTTACAATAGAAGTTCTTACGAGTGTGTGCAACGAGGATATCGACCTATTCGTGATGCACTAAGGGTATTTGGTGGAGTTCCTTGGTCAGCTTATCAAAACTATGTATCACAGAGTGTGCTTTCTATATTGAATAGACGTACGTACGCACGGGTATTGTAACTGGCAGTCGATACAACAAGCGGCTCGTCCAAATTACTTGGAAGTTAAATAACGAAATGTAGTATTGGTTTTAAAGATATGTTGATTATCTTCAAGCAACACTCCACTGTATTGCTTAAGCAATAATTCTTTCTTTGTTCAAAACATAAGATGGCTCTCAGAACCAAAAGGTCGGTTTGGGCATGTTAAGGGGTCAGGAATCTCATATATATGACTGTGCGTAGGACGTTCGCAGTACGAATCAACATGTTAGTCCGTAGGTTTGCACGGTATGCTAACAACGTAAAGATATCGCTATCTGCCAGTCCTTTTACTTCTCCAGTCTATGGGTCAACTACACACAGAAAGCTCTCAGCTACCAAAAGCTCAGGCCACACAGACGCGGTACAGCGGGAAAAGTGGTCCGGGGCGTGTCACACGGCAATCACACGCGTAGTTCGCGGCGGGCGGTGTGGCATTCAAAAGCAACCACGTCCCATTTTCTACTTACTCGTAGATTTAAATTAAGCACCATACCGCTGTCGGGTAGTGTTTAAGAAAAAAAAAATTCGCGTTACGAAAGCAACGCCAAAGGAAATTTCAGTCGAATTCATAATTAAACTTAATAAAAACACACTCAAGAGTGGTAAAAAAAATACTACATGCAATCCCGCTAAAGCTCCGTTCCCGGACTGCGCCTAGTCGTTGTCGCTCGGTGTGGACGGTTGCATAGAACTCAATGGAAAGCTTTGCGCCTGCACCCGCCCTGCGTTTGCCCCGAACCCTACCCGCGCGTGTTTGTCATAGCATTCGGCCCCGCCAGGTACGGATAAACCTACGCAGGTGTTTGTATAGTATTCTTTTTATAAAAAATTTAATAATAAATAAAACAAGAAAGGCTGGCGGGTTACATTGACGCGCGTCTCGCTTGCTCCTATAATGGGTGGCCGTCAAAGGCGCGAAAATTAAAAAGATCACGTGCACTGCACTTACTCACAACATATTGTATACCAATTTTTATGTTAATGCAATATGTTAGGTAGGCTCGTCATGGATCCACGGCGTTCGTGACACGGACCCCTTAGGGGTCCATGGAGAACAGGTTAAGAAACCCTGTACTTGAAAAAAAATTTTTTTACTGTACCAATTGCAGGTACTCACTGGCTCGCAAGTCGTTAACGAAATCTACGTTCTGGTCGATCTCGAAGTCTTCCTCGATGTTGTCGCCGGTCAGGCCGTATTTGCGACCGAGGTAGCGCGCAATCGCAAAGCTCTGGGCGTACTTTTTGCCGTCTATTTCCAGCACCGGCATCTGACCGAACGGCGTCTCTGTAAGGAGATAAAGTACGTTTATTGTTTAAGTATTTGACAAACATAGATCTCTTACAAACATTATTAAAGAAGAAAAACTTTCATAGATTTCTCACAGGAGGCGCTCCGGTAAAAAAACCGTTAAAACAAAGAACTACAAACCATTTATAAATTACCAGATATACAAATCATATTTGTGTGACAAAAACGGGCGATTCTTTCTATGTACCGTTTAAGTTCTCGGATTTCTCTCGGTGAAAGGTATCATGACTGTGGCATTACAGTACATTTACTCAAATATTTTGTGTGCCCGTAAAAATATACATTATTTCGTTAAGACAGAAGATATTCACAATATTAACCTCAGAACTAAGTCCAAACTCATGCTGCCACCATTTCGTTTAACTAAGGTAAACGATTCTTTTATGGGGAACAGTATACGTTTTTACAATAAGATTCCGGAGCACATATTAAGATTACCATTTGATAGGTTTAAAACTTACATGAAAAGTATTATAATTGAAATGTTATATAACAAAACTGTAGACTACGTGTTAGATAAAGATGTATGGATTGACAACGTGAGTCCAGATTCTACACAAATTATTCAAAATGTATTCTATAGCATTTAAGTTTATTTGAAAAGAGCAATCCCTAGAGTTTCTTGCTCGTTCTTCTCAGGGTCAGGGAGGTCAGCGTAGTGCATGAGCAGTAGCTTAAAAAATTACGTTTTCAAGTGTAAAAATTTTACCTATGGAATAAATGATTGTTTGACTTTGACTCTGCAACAAACACATAGAAAAATTCTTATGGTTCGCTTCCATGCTTAGTTGGCATAGCGTCTGGCACGGTTTGCTGGAAGATGTTGGTTTGAATCCAGCCGGATCGAAAGAATATTTTCTTTGTGTTCGATCTTTATAACTATTAATAATTATTACAAACTACTGGAACCTTTTCACAAAAATAATTGAATATCACATTCAATAAACTTAACAATATCTAAGGACAGCTATCATAGCCTGCAGGGCGCCCACTGCTGGGCGCCCTGCAGGCTGGGCCTCCCCCAAAGATCTCCACGACGATCAGTCCTGCGCTGCCCGCATGCATCGGCTTCCCGCGACATTTACCAGATCGTCGGTCCACCTGGTGGTGGGCCTACCCACTGAGCGTCGTCCGGTGCGCGGTCGCCATTGAAGAACCTTTCCGCCCCAACGGCCATCGGTCCTCCTATCTATGTGACAGTTATGACCTGCCTGAATTTTACTAACGTGTTACGCACCCTATTTTGTTATTTTATTCTATTTTGTTTTCGCTGACATAGACCCCTTGTAACTTAGAGTGGACTCCTGGGAGCCGATATAAACAACTTTGAGAATCATCGAGCTGAATGGTCTTCATTTGCTCATTATTTATGAGCTTAGGGACTTTTAAGTCAATGTACCCACTGCAAAATCAAGGCAGCATCGCGGCACAGTCGAAGTGTTGCGCGGATGATTATGAATTATTTGTTTACACTCGATTTAAACTTTATTCAACTTTTTGTCAAAGAAAGAAGGAGAACACGGAAGGTGGCAATTCGAAGCGATTTTTTATATAATCGACGTAAAGTCCTACAGTCGTAGTAGGTGTTTACCTTGAGATCGTATTTCAGTATAATGATAACTGAAACACGCGAAATGTTAGTATGCAAAGATAGTTTCTTTTAGGTGTAATATATATTCGTTATATTAAAACACACATTCTGATCTAATATTTTATTGCTAAAGTCAGGTGAAGGCAGTGACATAAAGAGTGGTTACACACGGCGGCATTTAGCAGCGACGCAATCGCGCGACTGCATCGATACAGTCGCTTATGTTGGATAAAGGTTGGGTATAGGTTTATGCACATTACTTTGTTCTGTTAATTGTAAATTTAAAAGTGAAATTTATAAATACATGAAATAAATAAATTAGTTAATTAATTCAAAAGGTGCATCGCGACTGCCTCGCTACTGCATCGCGTTTGCAGTAGCCAGTCATATGTGTAATTTCCTCAGTGTCAAGTTCTCCCGCTCAAATTTGACGAAGAAATCTGGTTGCTAGCAGCTGGTGAACGTGGCTCTTTTCCAGATTTCGCCGGTGACGGTTTGGAGCTCGTAGTGTAATTAGCGCAACCTGTTGTCAATACCTATTTAGGGCTAGTAGGCATGTAGTTCCTCCCAGAGAATCCGTAAAAGACATGGGAAATTGCGTGCCAGAGGTGGAGATGTGGTCGTTGTTGGTTTAGCAAATAACGCGTGTAAGTTGGTACTAACTGGTTTCCCAAATATCATCACATAGGGACTGATGAAAGTTGAACGATGTGGTGTTCTCCGTAATTGGGTCTTGATAATTGTTAATTTATCGAATTCTTAGGTTTTTGCGATTGTTACACACAGGAAATTAAACTATTTTTCCGGATTTAAATCGTGTATATTTGTTTTTTCAAACAAACCAACGTCGCTGGTTGACTGGTCAACCGTGACCATGAGACCTGTAAAGGACCCGAAACGTTGGTTTGTTCGAAAAAACAAATATAAGCGATTTAAATCCGGAAAAATAATTTCACTTCCTAATTGTTAATTTATGATGATATCACCTCTCTCGTTAATATGACATAAAAGAATACATTTCCAGATGATTTCCAGCCATATATTTGACAGGTTGCGACATGGATTTCGACGAAGTCACTCTCTGATTATTTTGAAGACCACGGCACCGGCGCGGGTGACCACTCCTTTGGCGATCTTTCAGAGAATCAGTTTCCTTGTAACATTGATCTTTGTAACGTTTTATGATGTAAGTTGCAGCTTACTTCAAAACATTTCATGTCACGGAAATCTCCACTGATTTTTACCCGCCATATGTAACAAAATTACAGTCAGACGTAACATGGATGTAACAATTTTGTTCCTTCCATCGTATCAATAATAAAAATGAATATAAAAACGTACAAATGGAACACAAACAATCCAAATTTAAAAATTGAAAAAAGATTTAAACAGCTGCTAGTACATATTACTTTGTATTATTTTATAAAGTCAAAGTGTGCTTTAAACTTATAAACACACGAGGTATAATCAAAACGTGTTGAGTCATAAAGGCTAGGGTTTAATCTAATCAGTCAAGTTCATTGAAATTTACATTGGTTTCTATATCAATACGTATGTAAATTTAAATTTAAACACGTCTGAAACCAAATCACGTTATGGCGGCAGCCTTGAAGCGGCGCGGCGGGAGCGCACCTCTTCCTCCCACAGCGATCCCACCCGCCACGCCTTCACCTCGACTATAATACCTCAACTCTAGTACTCATACGAGAGTATCCCCATTTTATTCTAGCACTCCTAAATGCGGCCTCACATAAATACCGTCGAGTAGAATACTAAAAGTGTGGGCGATAATGGCTTGGTCAGAGTAGGTAATATTATCACGCATCTGTATAGAAACGCACCTAGAGATAAACACGTTCCCAAATTCCTTAAAGAAATTATCTCATTTCCACCACATAACGTAGTTTGTGTACTCCAAGACCACTTATTGTATATATATCAAACAGGCACTGTTTATTCGCGGTGATCTCACTGATTACGCATTTACAATAATGATATTATCTCGTAGTCAGCTGAAAAAACAGAACATTTATGATAGGTAGTATTTTTCCATTTGATATTGCACAGACACCGTGTGCAATACTGTTTACAGCGAAAACCTTTTATTGAGCTCCCGAATGACTGTTACTTGTTTTGTCACTGAAAACCACTATGTATAACAAATAAATAGTCCATAGGAATTTGACCTCTTATTTGCCGTTGGAAGATGGAAAGGCAATCATTTGAGTTTCAGACAATAAACAGAAACTTTTGCACTGTCTACGGCGCTGCTATACACTTTATGAGTGCGAAGGTCACGGTCGCTCTGATGTAATTTTAGTCATGCCCATGTGAAAGAGTTTATTTATTTTTTGTCAAACTGAAAAATAAACCTCTCTTTCAGCTGCCACTGCCTCATTTGATGCAAATCGGTAAAAAATCAGATATACAAGTCTAATGAGGCTAAATCTGCCGTCCACTAACAACGCGACTAAGTGACAAAATTTGAGATATCCCAGTTTTAGAATATTGAAATCGTTTAATGATATTTCAACTATGCATCGTTAGGGTAAGCTCCGATAAGTCGAACAGGTTAACTATTTTTAAAAGAGAATTCTGTGCCATATCTTTTCCTATTTAAAACTACACACATCAAAAGTGTCTAGCGATCAAGTGAATATTTTTGAAATAAAAATTATTTAAGCAATATTTACCAAATCCAGTCTTCCAGGACGACTTCTTACTTTAATACTTATGTTTTATTTAACCGCTTACCCCTATATTTAATAAAAGTAAACAAAAATTGATGTTTTTGCAAATTGTGGGAAAAAACTCAAATTAACGGCGTCAATTAAATGACAAAAAAATGGCGAAAATGATGATTTTGCTCATTTTTATTGTAAAGATAAGAAAATTAATAATCTGTATTTCCACCATTAACACGAATCACACAATTACAGCGACTTGGCATGCTTAAGATGAGTTCATCAAAATCACTTTGAGGAATGGCCGCCCATGTGTTTTGTAACAAGTCAAAATATTGTTGTAGAGTATGTACGGTATGCATACTCGGCACAGCTCTTCTTTGAAGCATATCCCATGCGTGCTCAATTGGATTGAGGTCTGGCGATTGAGCAGGCCACGGCAGAACGTTGATACGAGCTTCGGCAAGAATGCGTGTTACGACTCTAGCCGTGTGTGGACGTGCGTTGTCATGCATTAGTTGAAATGAATCACCCAACTGGCCTCGCAAAGGGATGATAACATCTGAAACAATCCTCTCTGCGTAAACTTGAGCATTGAGGTTACCCCTGATCCAAATGAGATCGGTTCTTCCGCCGATCCAAATACCGGCCCATATCATTATTGTTCCCCCACCATATGGATGAACTTCCTGACAATATCT